ATCACATCATCCACAGAAAGTCCAATCGCTATGCTAAAATATTGGATTGTTTATAATCAGATAACAGTTTTCTATCACTTTCAAAAAAAGAGCTGCAGCACATGCTTTTCCCATGCTAACAATGCACACTCATATATTACACACTCATATTGTGTACCCACCCCACAAGGTCAGGCCCAGTTGTATGGCATTTCAGCATATTTCATTTTTTTCTGAACGTGTTGTGAGTCTGCTGATATCATTACATTATTACAGTGCATCCCATTCTGAAAGTAATAAGTATGAGATATAGTAAAGCTGAACACTGTAATCCATAAATAAACAACAGCGGCCTTGCCTTTTAAAAACTCTATGGCACATTATGAATAACAGCTTCTATCAGACAGATTCTGTTGAGAGATACTGTGGAGGAGTATTTACTGTACATTATTACTCTTTGTGTGTACTAAAAAGAAATACAACATAGTTCTACTGATATAATGGATCTATTAAAATGAGATATTAACAAATTGGAGTATGCAAATGTATCACACATGTATGGCTGATTCACTTCTGTGCATTTCTGATCATGGCTTTAACAGGGGAGTACAGTGGGAGTGCAACCCACAGTGTCTCTTTGTTATCCTAACACAACGTTATTGTGTTGCAGAGAGCAGCGATCTGAGCCAAATACATTTTTGAGGACGCAGATTGTTTCGTGATACACAAACTGTGCCAAGTGCTGGTGGCATGCTGTGTTTTCATGAGTTGGAAATCGGAGAGAAAAAGTGGGAAACACTAAACAATTCTGCCTTACCTTAAGAAGCACTTCAGCACGCAAAACTGCAAGGAGAGGAAGAAAAGGGGAAGAAGGAGAAAAAGGGGGGAGACAGAAGAGAGAGAAAGGAACAAGAGAGAATGGGAGAAGAAAAAAATTAGATTACCAGCTGCAGAACAACAACTTTCCAAAAGGTCAAATGGGTGTTGGCACAGGTTTCATGTCACAAACAGGCCTGTCGTGCATTTATTTACACAATACACTTCTTGAAATATAATCTTCTTATAGATTCAAATTTGTACATATGATTCCACATTCTGCTGCAGAATCAGATCTAATCACAACAAAATTACCTCCTGTCCAATACATGTAAATGACCTGAGCTTTAAAAAAATCATCAGATCACCACCAATATAAGACATAGAACTAATTTATTCTAGAATAAAAAATGAAATGATCATAATCTTGTTTTTTTGGAGCATTTTACCGTCCAGAGCAGGTGGGTTTTGACAGCTCACTGACTAAGACTGTGGAGCAGATTTACTCGAGGAAGCAAAGTGAAACAGATTCTGCTGTACTGAACACTGTATGAAAGTTGCATCATTAAAAAAAACCAAAAAAAACTATGAGGCTGTTAAGTCTGCTTCTGAGGGGACTGTTTTAAAGACGCCTTTCAGAGTTTAAGCAAACAAACAATAAAATATTCCAGATACAGCCCTCGTGGGTTTGTTGAATGCCTGGAAACTGCACAACATTTACTCCTCTCCTCCCTTTTTGCCTCCATGGCTCCAGACTTCATCAACTCCAGAGCAGGAAGTGGGGAGACGGTGCTGGCTTTATTCACTGTGTCCTCTCTGTTGCCTCGTGCCAACTCCTGATCTACTGTACTCTCATTTCGAAACTCGCCTGGCTGCAATACATGTGCGGCCTTGAAGTAAGATCACGTAAACAAACTGAGTTTACTGGTCCATGTCTGCCCTGTCCCAATAAAATAAATTAAAATAAAGAGAACTCATTTTCTTTTATAACTACAAAAATTATATTTAAAGAAAATCAAGTGCTTTGTAATTAAAAAAGCAANAACTGATTCTTTTTTTCAGTCTCATTTCACAATAAAAATTAAAGAAAGGACAGTTTGAACATTTGAATCACTGAAAGCCCCAGAGCAAAGTGAGGACTGCTTGGCTGGACTGTCCGGCCACCCTGCTCACTGACTGCTGGGTCAAGGTGAAAAGTGGAGGATTGTTCTCATATCATGGATTTAGGGATGTTTGAGCCCAGACGCCCACAGTGTCTACAGTCCCATGACTGTGCAGATTGAAGAGTGAAATTTGCCCTAATCCTCCTCACCTAAAAAACTGTAGCAACTGCTGTCTAACACAGCAAAATCAATAAAAAAGGATCACAAGGAACAGTGTGACCTATTATGTTATCCAGGGACTTTTCAAACAAAACTATTTTCTTTCTTTATATGTCTTTGTCTTGCTTGTAATGTCATTAAAGGTCACTATTGAGATAACCCATCCTACAAGTTAAATACAAGACTGAAATTATGTATATCAAGGATGTAATTACAACTAGGGCTCAAATCGTGTTAGTGTAGGAAAGCCAAAAAGGAAAAAAAAAAAAAAGCAGCAGGGAGATGGTTCCACTAAGTGAGCGCCCAAACAGAAAAGGCCCCTGGTCATACTGGGTCCTCAGTCTAGTTGGTAGAATGGTTAGCAAATCCCTGCATGAGGACCTCATTTTGCGCCCCGGGCACGAGGAATGAGTGGATCAGTTATGTTCTCTGGTTCGAGTCCAGAGGGGACATTAACTGTTGTTAACGATATCTTAATATCAATTCTGAAGTTTACCAGTTTATTGACACTACTTATCTATCATGATGTAAATATAAAAAGTTGTGGACCAAAAAAGGGTTAAAAAGCCCAAACCAACAAACTACTTATTTGTGTCTCCACCAGCACGTCATGAGATAATTTTCATGTGCTGTGTGAAGATTTTATTTCAGCTGAACAGACATTTTGTCAGGGTAATTGTTTCATAAGCGCCTGCGTGAAAGACAATTATCTATGGTGCGCGTGTGGCTCGCACAAAATGCTCTTTATTTCATCACAGAACAAACAACATGACAACATATCCATACACTCCAGACACAATCTAACGCCCCGGAATGCACAAAGGCAAACAGACACACACACACACACACACACACACACACACACACACATGCGCAGAGCAATCAGAGTGTTTCATTAGTGAGGAGCAGATAGATTACTCTCCCAAAGGAGACATTGACTGAGAGGCCATCGATCCACTGAGCTACACCAATCTGTGTGTGTGTGTGTGTGTGTGTGTGTGTGTGTGTGTGTGTGTGTGTGTAGGCTGGGAGTGCGAGTGTGTGCGTGCGTAAAGTAGCCTACTGATGGAGTCTTTAAGTTGTTAGAGTAAGCACAGTAAATCTAATCCAGTTGTGTTTAATGGAGAGAGAAAGAAACAGCCCGTTGACATATTCATTAGGACCAATTACTCTGTCCAATCACCGCCATCTCACTCACTCACCAGAGAGAGAGACAGACGGAGCGTTAGCAATATTTACTTCTTGGCATATCATCATGGGAAAAGACTGATAGCACTTGAGCGGTAAATAAAAAACATATTTATTCCACTTACTGGATGACAGCGTGGTGCGTTTGGAGACATCGATATCATCTGATCTCGTTCAAGCCTGGCTAAGTGCTAACGTGTTAATCAATCCGGCTAAAACTGGAATCAGTGAATTATACAGTTTTATTAATGATTCAATAAAGATGGTTCCACTCTGAGGTTGTTATCACAACTCATGGTAACAACACAATGATGCAGACGCATTTCCAACAATGAGCTCATTGTAAACACTAACAATCACAGAGAAAAATCAAGATAATGCTATTTCTAGTGACTTATCATCAGCTGTGTGTGTGTGTGTGTGTGTGTGTGTGTGTGTGTGTGTGTGTGTGTGTTTCCCATCTACATGTGTGGGATTTGTAATTAGCTTTCTAGCTTGTTCTCTTCTATTGGATGTGAAAGTAATTGGAGCTTTTGGACACTCGCTCTCTCAATCTTTGTCAGTGTGAGAGCGTGTGTGCATGCTCGTGCACGTGCACGTGTGTGTTGTAGTGTCTGTATTCTGGAGGATGGCCAAACCATTACTGTGTGCTCAGCCCACTCTAAAGCAGCTTGTGATTCATTAGTAATGAGTCCATTTGCAAACTAAATGAGTGTTTGAGTGGCCGCATGGCGTCGTGTGTGGCGATTGTGTCCACTTACTTATTTTGTAGCAAAACACACACAGACACACACACACACACACACAGACACACACACACACTGGGATGTTTTTCAGATGTAAAGGCTGTTTTGTGTGTGTGTGTGTGTGTGTGTTCAGCCAGCATGAGAAGCTCATGTGGAGATAATGAAGTCAGTGAGTTGTGTCATTAATTACTGTTTTACACCTGCTTGTCTCAGCTAATTAGACATGCTGACACACACAAATACACACTCGCACAACATATGCACACAACACATGCACACAACACATGCACACAACACATGCACACACACACTATACGTTTAAACATGATTGCATGTGCGCACAGAAACACATTTTATATCACATTCTGACATTCGCACAAAAAAGTTTTTTTTACACTGACGAGTCAAAAATACCTTCTCATTTACACTTTGAGGAAGGTGAGATGGCAGGGCTCAACACAGCATTGGGAATCTCTCTCACTCTCTCTTCATCTCACATGCAAACACATCTCTACACCTCCTCCCTTTTCTTCCCCTGTTGTTCTCCCGTCCTTGCACTTATTCCTTCCTGCACCCAGCATGTAACCCACTGTCTCTATAGGTTCACCATTCAGTCTGACTTTGTCTACACTATTGTGGACAAAGTTTGTTTTGCAAAATATCTACATTAGTGTGGACAGGGTGTGAAAGTGTGATTTTGTATTGCTTTGCATTGTGTGTGTTGGCAGAGTTGGAATTAGAATATTTTGGGTAGGTGGCCCTCACTTCTGAAGGTCTTGATGAGGGTCAAGAGTTAGTTTAGGTTTAAATTAAAGTTAGGTTTGATTATGGTTGGGTGAGGCATGTAGTTCAGGGTTAAGAAGTTCTCTTGATGACAAATTAAATTCTCCATGTAAGTGTAAGGGGCTGGAGATGTATCACAAAGATAAAAATACACATGCATTGTTGTGTATGTGTGTGTCTGTGTGTGTGTGTGTGCTTCTCCTCCCTGCCCATTTTCTCAACAAAGGCCACAGCTGCTGCAGGTCTGCTGAATAAAAGATGACAGAGCTATAATATCAGGAGATTACCAGCTAACGAAACAATGATTTTGTTCAATTTAAATAGCGACATCAGTTGCATCACAAGCACTTTGCATGTCAACTGTGATATGATAATGTTTGTCTCTGAATGAAAACAGTTATCATCTGCACAGAGAGACGCCCTGACTCCGTCTCTCCCCTCCCTGTGCTCTCTCACTTCCGATCTCTCTCTCTCGCCCCGTGCACACATTTGCTCCGGCTCTCTTGCCCTCCTGTGGTCTCTCATACACAAACACACATACACACACGTACACAAAGAGCACGTAGAGCGTATGGCTATCTCTCTCCTCTTTGAAGGGTTGCTTTGAAGCTATGGCACCCGTATCGATTGCAGCTCAGATGAGCTCGTTTCGCCAGAGCCCTGCGATTATCTGTCGCTTTATTTCAAACAGAGCGCAAGAGAGGGGGGCTTATGCACCCATCACTCACTCACACTCTCACAGTCAGTTGTACACTCATACATGAAGCACACACACACACACACACACACACACATCCACACAAAAACGGGGATAATGAGACGAGCTTACACACTGAATCCCGATACTTAAGGCAAGCTGTGCTTTAGAACTGACAAGTGAGTGTGAATGTTAAGAGAGTAAGGACATAGTGAGAGAAAGAGACTATAAAGTCTGGAAAAGTGATGAAACTTAAAAGTAAAATTTCCTCCTGCAGCTCCACTCCACATT